ATAAATTGAGTAGAACATGGCACTGTCAAGAACAATGTGTTCACCTAAAACTAGGGATTCTAACTTATCAGACTTTCTAGCGTGAAGATTTGCATAAAACATTCTCAATAAGGGTTCATAAACTTTGGGATAGGGTACATGCAGGAATTTTGACCATCCTTGAAAGACAAACAGATCTGTTACCTTGCAATTGAGGCCCTTCATGTCGTCAAGGTCGACTACTCTACCATGACCAATGGGCTTATCTCTCAGAGCAACAACGAAATCCCTGTTTGGGGTATCCCAGTTCAGCAGTGTCTAGATCTGGCATCTTTGCCTCTTCTTATTCAGGGTCCTCTAAAACTACAAAACGGTTCGGGCTAACTAGGTCCAGTTGGGTCATTGTTCACCAGGGCCTCTTTCCTCCTCCCTTTTCTGCTCACTCGTAGGGGTCGGGACCCCCACAAAGGCGAAGACCCATCGGGATTGGGCATGGACGAGCCTCGACTGGGCCAGCATTAATGAAAAAAGAAAAACTTCCCCCATCGCATCATTAACCGGTGTAGGATTCAAGATCAGGTCCATGATTCCTTTTCTTGAGAAGAATGCTCTGGTTTGGTATAAATGAAGCATGTTCCATAGCTAGCCCGGGTTGAACCATACTCCGTGGAAGCACACGTTTTGGGGCAGACAAATCGAAGCTATGATTTTCTTGTAGTCGGCCCGTAATGCCTTCCTTCATTTGCTTGCCTCCTTTCAGCTCAGAATGCCCATCATTAGCTAAAGAAGAGAGAGAAGGGGGAAGCTTAGTCTAATTGTCCGAAGTGATTCTTTCTTGATTGGATGCCAGCTTTCTCTTAAGAAATTGAGGTCAAAATCTAGAGAACTTGAGCGGTCTATTTTGGATTTCTTGGGGGTAAGAGATTCATGGGGGGTCTTCCATAGGCCATTTTCCATACGCCTTTTTCTCCTAAGTGATGAGATTAATCTGATAGTTCTGCGTGAGAAGAGGAAAACCCTTCTGAGTGGTCAGACCCTAGGTCTACTAGTTCTGGGGACTAAGAAGAGGGTTTTTCCTTGGAGCAAGTACTTTTTCTAGTGGAGGCAGATTGTTTTTGGAGTGTTTAGCCATGGAAAGACTATTTGGAAGGAGTTTGAAGGATTTTTGAAGAGGGTTTCTGAGCGATATGAACAATGGAGACTGAGATGAGTGGTTCAGAGATTAAAAAGATGTAATTTTGACGGTTGAGTGTAGGAAAGGAAAGGGTGTCAATGAAAGGTCATGATGATTGATTTTCCTTTCTTGAAAGCTGCAACTGATGGGAAAAGAGAGGAAAATCGGAGGCGCTAATTTAATGAGTACTTACACAAACAAACAAAATTAAAAACATTAGGCATACAAGAATTAAAGAAATCAAATAGGTCCTAATTTTTATGATCGGGAGAAATAATACCAAGTAGATTTCTTAGAGAGAAAAATCTATCTTCAAGTAAAGGCTTAGTGAAAATATTTTCCAGATGATCAGTAGTGCCAACAAATGATAATTCTATATCTCCCGTGAGGACGTGATCTCTAATGAAATGTTTTTTGATGTCTATATGCTTATCCCTAGAGTGATGCACAAGCTTCTTTGAAAGACATATAGCACTAGAGTTATCACATAATATTTGAATAGTTTTAAAAAATAATTCATAGTCACCCAGTTGATGAGACATCCATAATAACTGTGCACAACATTGTCCAATGGCGATATATTCAGCCTCTGTTGCGGATAGTGCAATTGATCCTTGTTTTTTTACCGTTCCATGATATTAGTGCCTTTCCAAGTAATTGACATGTCCCGCTGGTGCTTTTTCTGTCTTCCTTACCACCTGCAAGATCACCATCTGAAAAACCTTCTAGTTTAAAACTGTTAGAACGTGGATATCATAGTCTGTAAGAAATAGTTCCAATAAGATAACGAATTATCCCATTTACGGCACTCACATGTGATTCCTTACGAGCTGACTGAAACCTAGCACATTTATATACACTAAACATAATATCTAGTCGACTGGCAGTTAAGTAAAGTAAAGAGACAATCATTCCACAATATTTGGTTTCATCAACAGGATTTCCCTTTTCAACCTTGTCAAGACTTGTTAACGGACCCATTGGTGTACCAATAGCTTTAGCACTACTCATACCGAACTTCTGAATTAGCTCCTTTGTATATTTCGTCTGGCATATAAAAGTTCCTTCTTCAGATTGTTGAATTTGAAGTCCAAGAAAAAATGTGAGCTCTCCCATCATACTCATTTCAAACTCACTTTGCATAAGATTAGCAAATTCCTCGCACAAAAGAGGGTTACACTACCAAATATAATATCATCAACGTAAAATTGAATAATAAGATTATCTTCTGATGAATAGTGTAGTATCTACTTTACCTCTTATAAATCCGTGATCAAGTAAAAATAAGCCAAGTCTTTCGTACCATGCTCATGGAGCTTGTTTAAGTCCATACAAAGCCTTAGTCAACTTATACACATGGTAAGGGAACTTTGAGTTTTCAAAACCAGGAGGTTGTTTTACATATACCTCTTCATCAATGAAGCCATTTAAGAATGCACTTTTGACATCCATCTAAAAAAGTATAAATATTTTGAAGGATGCGTATGCAAGAAGAATTCGTATTGACTCTAGTTGAGCTGCTGGAGCAAAGGTTTCATCGTAGTCGACTCTTTCCTGCTGTGAGTACCCTTGAGCTACTTATATGGCTTTGTTTCTCACAACCTTTCCATCTTCATTGAGCTTATTTCTGAAAACCCATTTTGTTCCAATTGCAGTAGCATCTACAGGCTTAGGCAGTAATTTCCACACTTAGTTTTTGTCAAATTGATCGAGTTCTTCTTACATTGCTTGTACCCAGTTTGAGTATTTTAGAGTTTCCTCTATCTTCTTTGGTTCAATCTGAGAGATCAGTGCTATATTTGCCTTTTTCTTGAGAGCTCCCCTAGTTTTCATTCCTTCACTTGGATCTCCTATGATAAACTTTTGAGGATATTTAGGTTCACTTCTCCGTTCATTTGGACGTGTTGAACTCGTATGAGTAGTTGACTCCTTATGTGATTTTGGTTGGCTGTTGTTTAGCTCATTAGTTGACTCCGTGACACCGTCTAGCCTGTCAGTCGACTTTTGAGGTTTCCTTGACTGAGGTATTTCTTGATTGAGATCTTCATCACCTGCAATAATTCCTTTCTCGGCCGTAGTATTATTTTCATCAAATATAACATGTACTGATTCTTCTACAGATAGAGTGCGTTTATTATAAACTCTAAAAGATCTAATATTTATGGAATAACTTAGAAAAATAACTTCATCACTTCTTGGATCAAATTTTCCAAGATTGTCCTTACCATTGTTGTGGATGAAACTCTTGCTGCCAAACAGATAAAAATAACCTATGTTGGGTCATTTGCCTTTCCATAGTTCATATGGAGTTTTCTTCAAGATAGGTCTTATGAGACATCTGTTGAGAATGTGACAAGTTGTGCTTACTGCTTCTACCCAAAAGTGATTAGGCAAGGAATATTCTAGTATCATAGTTCTCGCCATATCTTGCAGAGTTCTATTTTTCCGCTCAACTACTCCATTCTATTGAGGTGATCTTGGAGCTGAGAAGTTGTAGGTGTATCCTTGATCATTGCAGAAGTCTTCAAATGCTTTGCTTTCAAATTATCCTCCATGATCGCTTTGAATGGTTGTAATAAGATACTCCTTTTCTCTTTCAACTCTTTTACAGAAGATCTCAAAGTTTTTCAAAGCTTCATCTTTGAGAGATAGAAAAATCACCCCATGTAAAACGTGAGTAGTCATCAACAATAACAAAATCATATTGTTTTCCTCCTATGCTAGCAGTTCTGGTGGGTCCAAAAAAAGCTATATGAAGCAATTGTAAAGGCTTTGATGTAGACACAATGTCTTTGTTTTTTAAAGAGTTTCTGGTTTGTTTACCAATCAGACATGCAACACATACATGATTTCTAGAAAAATTGAGTTTACGGAGACCAATAACTAAATCATGCCTCGAGAGTTTCTCTATAAGATGCATGCTTGCATGACCAAGTTTCTTATACCATAACCATAGATCATCATATATGGATGCTAGACAAATGTGACCTTCTAGATTTTCAAAACCATCAAGAATATAAACATTACCATACCTTTTTCCTGGAAGGATTATTTTACCTGTCTCATCTTAAATAGCATAACCCGTTTTCTTGAACTTTACTTCGTACCCTGAATTACATAGCTGACTTATACTCAGGAGATTATAGTTAAGTCCATCTACAAGATAAACTTTAGTAATATCACAGTTGCTATTGAATAAAACTGTGCTAGTGCCGACTATCTTCCCTTTTGAGTCATCGCCAAATTTAACACTTCCTCCATTTATCTTTGTAACTTCTTTGAATAGGTTTTTGTCACTTGTCATGTGACTGGAACACGCACTATCTAAGTACCATTTCCCTTTGTGTCTCTTCTTGTGATGTTCCTCGCTTGTTTCACCTCGTTCCATGAAACAACTCTCATTATCATCTTTGCATTCATCGTCCGGTGCATCTTCATCTGTCCAACAGCCTAAGAATTTGTTCATGTCATTTTCGAGGATTGTCATGAAGCGTAGATTTGCTATCTTTTCATGTTTTGAACCGTCTTCATCACTCTAGCTTCCAAATGATTTGTTCTTGTTGAATCCTCTGGAAACCTTTCTTTTAAGATCTAGGCATTCAGCTTGAACATGCCCATATCTTCCACACTCATAGCATTTTCCATCATTCTTGTCTTATTCATTATATTGCCTTGTTCGCCTGGGTGGTATCCTACCTCTTCTTGTGTTTCTGTATCTCCTCATCAAACCATCTATGTTTCTTGATACCATGGCAATCTCTTCTTCAAGAGGTTCAGGGTCGTCAACAATATCATTTTCTGTCCTTTCAGTTGTAGCCTTGAAGACGATTGTTTTCTTCTTCTCTTCCTAGCTTGTTTTCTTGATGTGAGTTTTCTCGAATGCTATAAGATCTCCTCGAAGCTCATCATAAGAAAGTTTATTTAGATCTTGTGATTGGAATGCAACTACTTTTGTCTGCCAAGTGGTAGGTAGACTCCTCAGAATTTTCCGAACTTGATCACCACTTGAGTATGGTTTACCAAAAGCTTTTAGATCGCTAATGATTTTGCTGAACCTCACAAACATTTCTTCAATGGATTCTCCGTCTTTTATCTGGAAAAGTTCGTAGTCATGAACTAACATGTTGATGTGAGTTTCTTTTACTTTGCTGGTTCCTCCATAAGTAACTTCCAGTTTATCCCACATTTCTTTGGTTATATCATAATTAGAAATTTTCACATATTCCTCTCTACTTATAGCATTATAGAGTAAGTTTTTTACTTTAGCATTGACTTGAATAACTGCCATTTGCTCGTCTGTGTACTCATCTATATCTTCTGGATCAGCAGGTGGTTGAGCAGTTGTTGGTAGTGGATAGTTTTCCTTTTTGATAACTCGCCAAACTTTGACATCATAGGATTTTGCATATATTTCCATACGCAATTTCTAGTGAAAAAAATGTTGTCCATTAAAATATGGTGGCCTAAATTGCGATGTTCCTTCTTAAAAGAGTGCTCCAACAATAACTTGATTTGCCATGATACTTTCTCACAAGATGTTAAGCAAAAAATGTGAGACTAGCTCTCATACCAATTGAAAGTACAAGAGGGGAGGGGGGTGATTGCTTATTTAAAAAAACTTTTATAAGTAGTTGACTAGTTTACCAATTAGTCGACTGGAAATAAGAACGAGATAATGGTAAATACAGAAATAAAAATGCAGGAAATAAAAATACCAGAATTTTTATACTGGTTTGAATTTAATGTGAATCCTAGTCCAGTCTCCTTAGATTGCAAGGGTGTTCTCTTTCAGTGATCGATATTTCTTGAGTACAAAATGGATGATGTAGCTTTACACCAACAGCTTAATCTCCATGTCTCTTTTCTTTTCTTGATACAATGCCTCACCAGTGTTTATCTCTTTTTCTTCTCTCACTAATTATACAATAGATCTAACAGAACTACAATGCTTGTTTGGAGTAGAACAAAAAGAGCGAAAATAATTCGTTCAAAGCATATTCTTTTCAAGTCTGGAATATCTGTATATATACTTTTCATGAGGACTTCGAAAATCTTAAGAGATTGCAAACCCAAGGGAGTTGATCCTTAAAAAGAAATCATAAATTGATTCTTTCCAAGAATAATGTCATGTTCCCGTTGATCTTCCTTGATTTATTGTCTTGGCGAGCTTTCCATTCGCTAGGCATATCTTTGTGTTACTTGAGGCGTATCCACTGGATCCCTTGATTTTCGGCTTCATTGGTTTTCAATGATCTCGTTCCCCTTTGATTTGAGACCTTCTAGTAATAGTTTCCGTCAATCTTTGATTATTCTTGCCGGATTTCCGCTGCTTCATCCTTTTTCATTGCTGATCATTGATTATTTTTCTTGTTTGCTTTTGGACCCTCCGTTAATAGATTATTTCCTTGATTTATTCCTAACTGGTATTGCTTCTTGAATCCCTTTAATTTATTTCTTGTGATTTACACCAAATGTAATATCTTATTTTTTATCATTGAAACTTATAATTAATAAAACCGACATGATTGGGACGGTAAGATTAGCCTACTAACTATTTCAACTATCTATTAAATCATTTCTCTAGATTAGAAATAAAAACTTCAAGATCTATCTCCTCCCTTTTCTACTCTGTATGCATGTAAAACCGGGGCTAATGAGCATCCTGATTTTCCGGTGGGGCAAACGAAGCAAAAGCATGACTACATGGGATCAGAATCGAAGCGGGGACTTTAACGTACTAAGGCCAGAATGGGAACTTGTCACAGGGCCCGGCAAGACAACACCCACCGAACCTGGTACGAGCCCCATGACCTCGAAAAGCAGTACAAACAGTTGCTCACGCCTAAATGAGGGCCGTGTTATCCGCACCAACCGGATATCACGGTGCGTATATCGCCCGATGTCGGTAGCATATTGGTAATTGATGTACAAGGAGGATTTTTACCTCTTTTAGAATTGTACTAAGGGTAAAACTCTCCTACTATATATAGGGGAAATTTTTAATTCAATACACACATTGTAACACTCATATTAAAGCAATAAAAACTTGTTTCTCTACTTTCTAGTTATTGAGAATTTTTTATTTTGATCATAGTTCTTCATACGCATTTGGCTCCGAATCGAGGGTCCGGTCGAGGGCAGAACTGTTGTTAAGCTTAAATCTGAGCCCTGACTTAACATCACAACTGATTTGGTTATTTATTTTATCTTTGATTCATTTATCTAACATTCTTGATTACTTGTATTGAATCAATCCACATATCCTTAAAAACGCGTACAAATTTAATTGTTATCCATTTTAAGGGTAAACATACTCCTTGTAGGAATTAGAACCAACAATGGGGAGGGAGTCAAGTGAACATCTGAACCGTTGGCAAGAATTTTGCCTTCATCAGACTTCCATGCTGCAAATATGCTGAAAATCGTATGATATTACTCGAAAGAAATAGAATATTAGTTAAATATTTTATTAATAGGTGATATATGTTCAACTAAAAGTATGTATTTTTATATGCTAATCGCCTCATATTGTAGTGCTTTATTGAAGATTGTAGGGTGCAATATAACATTTTGAGCTTAATCACATTAGTATATATATAGGAAGTAAATGGGAGTGAAATGTAGTAAAAGATTTTGAGTTGGAGCAATAATGGATGAAATATGGAAGATTTCAAATTCCACTACGATGAAATATGAGAAGATTTCAAATTCCACTGGTCAGGCCACCGCTCTATGATTTCTCTGGCACTCAACACTTGAAAATTTTCATAGAAAAAATTGGGTGCCCAAGCCTACCGCCCCACGGTGCCTGTAGTGCTGGAAACAGAATGTCCAAATTAAGAGTGGCTGATCTAGAATTTTAAAATATGGGTACTCAACTATTTTTAATTTAAAAATTACTATTAAGACTAAGTACTTAGTGTTTACCCATAAAACGGTACAGTTAAATTTATACGCGATTTCTAGACAAGTGAATTAATTTGATCCTGAAATAATAGATAAATTAGATAAAAAAATATAATACTTTACAAAGCGGTGGTTAGACCGACCATGATGTATGGGGTTGAGTGTTGGCTTGTTAAGAACTCGCATATCCGGAAGATAAAAGTAGCAGAAATGAGGATGTTGAGGTGGATGTGCTGACACACTAGGATGGATAAGATTAGGAATGAAGATATTCAGGATAAGGTGGGCGTGGCTCTCATTGATGACAAGATGCTGGAAGCGAGGCTCAGATGGTTCGGGCACGTACAAAGAAAAAGCCCGGATGCTCCGGTAAGGAGGTGAGAGCAGCTGGCTTTGGAGGGCACGAGAAAAGGTAGAGGACGTCCTAAGAAGTATTGGAGAGAGGTGATCAGGCAGGACATGGCGAGACTTCAGATTTCCTAGGACATGGCTCTTGATAGGAAGTTGTGGAGGTCGAGTATTAGGGTTGTAGGTTAGGAGGTAGTTGAGTCTCCCTTACTTCGTACCTTTGTGAGGCTAGTTTGGTAGGGGTTTTGTCGATGTCAGCTAGTGGCAATGTTGTATTTTACTACTCCTTTATTTTCCATAGTGCCAGGTCTATGTATTGTCTATCGCGTTTGCTTTGCATCTACTTTCTCATTTTCATGATGTTATTTTTCCTATGGTTTCTATTAGTGATACTGATAATGTCTCTTTTCGTCTTCTTGAGCTGAGGGTCTTTCGGAAATAACTTCTCTACTCCCTCGGGGTAGGGTTAAGGTCTGCGTACACACTACCCTCCTCAGACCCCACTAGTGGAATTTCACTTGGTTGTTGTTGTTATTTTTTAGCCTTGAGATGGAGATGAAATAGTAGAAATAGTAGTTCCGGGAGCAGGGCTTCCAGGCACAACAACAATAATATCAAAAAGCATGAAGATAAAATTAGATTAAGCTTTGGATAGGGTGTAGCGTATGTTTGCTAGAAAATTCGTGTCCCTTACAATGATAGTAGAGTTCACTATTTATAGATGTATCTAGGGAACAAGGTCCTAGGATCAATCCCCTCTTTAATGTCAATTATGAGGGACATTGAAAAATGTGTAACAGCGGAAAGTGAATGTCATATTTCTAGTAACGGGCAGTGTACTTAATACTGTATAATATTCTTTATTAAATTCTACCGGGTGGAAAATATTTATTTCATTTTTATGAGTATCATTCTCTCTGGTAACAGACGGGATCGTTGCCTTCGATTTCAGCTATCTTCTGTCTTCAGCTCCAAGTGTCACTTCCTCATTTGATCGTTTAATATAACACATTTTACTCTATACAGATAATCCCCTTGCTTTCCGGTGACATACCTTTGTATCACTGGGAAGTTGGTAGAAATATTTTTTTTGGTGGGAAATTTACTAACCCCTTCAGAAAAGTTTCTGACGGTTGATTAGACGCACGTCCCTCTTCATTTAATGCCCCGAACACGCGTCATGCCACGATTTAGCATAACTTTGCAGGTTATCGAGGTAATTATGGCTACGAGTTTCGCCGCCTACACCTTTACTTATACGCATCAACCTCCTTCATTTACACTTCATAATACTCCAAATTTTCTAAGACTTACTTTACTCAACTCATTCTTCGATTTTAAGCTTTCTTTAACTTCCTTCTTTGAGAGAAAAACCCTCTTTCTGATAAAAGAAATGACATCTTCTTTAAGAAACCCAAGTTATTCAAAGAACAAAGGGAAAACTGATGATGTTGCCCCCCCTACGATGAGTACCATCATCCCAAAGAATTTGATTACCACCAAATATTTTGAAGAGAAGTACCCTTCTACTCACCCTCGTACGTGGGTCATTAGCGTATACCCTTCTTCTATCCGTCCTTACAGTATCCCTGCTGTGAAGGAAGGCTGCCACTGTCAACATTTGGACATTATCGCTCCCAACCTGGCAGAGCGGATAACCTTACCCAAGAAGTGTTTTACATATTTTTACACGTATCCCTTCACTTTGGAAGCATTTTCTTTGAGTGGAGAGCTTGGCTCCGTCATTGTGGAGTTCTGGCTCCTCTATAAGGTGATCTTGGCACAGGTAAGCCCTTCATGTGGAGGACAATCACTTGTCTTTGGTGCCTGTGCCAGGAGATAAGAGAAGAGCTATTCTTAGCTCGAGTGATGAATCTTTATTCCCCCAAACTCTTCCATGAGGGAATGATAAATTTCAGAAAACATGGCCACCATGCACTTCTATCTAGCATGGATGATGACAACGACCGTGGGCGGATGGAACGATTTGTTTCAATCGCCACTAGTGACATCATCCCGACCTCGACTCCGGCTTTCCCGAAATTATGGAACTGTACTCGTAAGTCCATCATTTGTTTCTTCTTGTGTAAAGATCATTCCATATTATTATTAACTCTTCTGTCTTTACCTGTTTCATCGACTCGGTGGGTTCCACCTAGGGTT